CTGCTGTTTACACTTAGCTAGATTAATGCGATGGTGTTGTGTTTAGTATGTTGCTTTGTTTTTTTTTTTGGTCTTTTTTTGCTTGTTTTCTATTCTTCTCTCAACAGGTGATCCAGGAGATTTTTATTTTTTTTCTCCCCCCCTTTCTCACTGTCCCTCTCCCCTTCTGTTTTTCCTTTCCTTCCTCTTTCTTCCTCCCTTTCCTATCTCTCACTCATGTCTGTCCCGTCTGTAACATCTGAAAATAAAATATAATAAATAATAAAAACAAAGATCGACCAAATGGACCAATACGGCAATGCCACGATGATCCATTTGGCAAAGTAAATCCATTGGGTATCCTTGTTGGTCTTCAGACAACAATTCTGATGGCTAAAGAACCAAATGGGACAGGCGAGGAAAAAAAAAAAAAAAAAAAGGAAAAGATATATATGAATCTTATAAAGTTTGTATCTGTCTTGTGTGAAACTTGTATGAAAAGCATACAAGAGTGAAAACAGATATAAGATCCCTTGAAAAATTATATAATGAAACTTGTATGTTTTGGATACTTACTAAAACAATGTATGAAAGTAATGAGAAAGTGGCCACTTTCATGAGTAATCACATATAAGTTTTTACTATTTCTTTTCCATATGGGAACACTCCACATTTGGGAAATATATCATTTAAAATAAAACCAGTGTTTTTGTTGCATTTTAAAACTCTAAAGAACTAAAGAGTCTGGCACAAGAGGTAATGACCATCCTGAGGCCAGGCCACTGCAAATAAATTAGCAGGTTTCAGCAAAGAGAGGGCTCGAGTCTGGCAGGTGAAAAAGCTGAGCTGTGTCTCCGTGAGTGGTTAGTCCTGGAACAAAAATGATTTTTTGAGTGATTACTGATTTAGCAATAACACAGATGTAGTGTTTTCAGCCAATCACCAAATAAACTTTTAGCAAGTTAATTGTCCTGCGAATGAAAATGTCTAGCAGTACTTCTGCTATAGAATAAAGCTACCTCGCAGTTTCTTTGTGTAGATTGCTTGGAGGGGAAAGCAATTTCCTTTAATCTTCCCTTTCCTGTGAATAATCTGTGAAATTCTTGCAGTATTTCCTCTCATATGACCCTTTTCCACAGGGTGTTGGGTGTCTAATCCAGAGGCAGTTTAACACATTTGCTCCCCCCGAACTGGTGCAGGTGTAAAGAATAGAGGCACCAGCATGACACCATATAATTGCTGGGTCCAAAGTTGGAACCACTGAGTCAGTCACTAGCTATTGGAAGGGCTACCACAAGAAATTCACTAATGATTGGCAGATATATGTCACAAATTCTGTCATATGACATTACTAAAATATTACTGCAACCTCTATGAAATGCATTTTCATTTAACCAATAATTTGCCCATAAATGAGGCTTTTTAACAAATCAAACTGCTTGAAAATTGATTAAAAATTCATTTTTTAAAATACAAAATTCAGAAAAATAGCCCTAACAAAACACAGTGTGGGTACCTCAGTAAACATGTTTCATGATTTTTAAGTATAATTTTGCAAATTAATGGGCAAAAGAATGAAAGGGAGTAAACCAACTCACTGTAAGGCACTTGAAGTACAATTTTTCAAATGCATTCAGTGCATATTATATGAAGTTTTATTAAATTTTTGTGCAGATGGGCTGATTTCTGGCATATCCCCCTATTAAGACTATCTTCTTGAGCAAGCACTGACAGATTCCATCACAGCTGCTTGTTTTAGATCTCTCAGCAGACGTCTCCTCGTACCTGTGCCTCTGCCGTGGACAGTGTTCTTCAGCGTACTGTAACAGTCGCAATAGTGTGGTGTCTCTTTAAGACAACTTCATGTTTCGTGATGTCACAAGCATGCGCCCTGCCCTCTGGTGTGTATGGAAGAAACGTGCCTGCATATGGACACATGGACTGAGATGGTCCTCATATCTTTACTTCCCTAACTCAATGTAGCGTTACATGTTGTATGAACACTGCTCGCCTCGTATGATAAAACGGCAGCCGTTCAATCGGGCCTTGTAAGGTTTGTGCAGAGTGTGTTTATTAAAGAACAATCACTGTGGAATAGCCAGTACCAGTGTGGCCGTGGGTTTTTGACTGCTGCCTCCTCTCAACCACTGAATACAACCCATGCTACAGTACCATACAGTGAATATTCAGCTTTTAGTGAAGTAGATGGAGACGCAGTGAGTTCTGAGTTAGTGTTGGCAAAAAACCTCTGCATTCTGAGTGAATTTTGAGGTGGCACAAGATGTGACATGACAGTTAAGATCACTTGCTATGAAGATTCAGACTCCACTCAGACTCTGTTTGTTTTCCCAAGAAAAACAGGATGTGTAATCCCCCTCTTCCACCCATAATTTACACCGATTGACATGACACCACAGCTTTGATGGGAACTCCAGTGGGGCCAGTGCCACACCAGACTACCTTTAGCCACACCCCTGGATAAAAACAGAGAAATAAAAAAGATCATTATATGAGCAATTTCTGTGACAACAAAAGCAAATTCTTCTCTGATCTTTTCTCTGACAACAACAAGAAAGTTAAAAGAAACACGATCGTCTGTTGTGCTGCTGCGACTAAACATCATTTTACTTCTCTTCTGTCATTAAAAAAAAATCCTTTCAGTAGTTGGGAGACAAAGAGCAGGCTGCTGATCCTTAACCAGTTCTTGATCCTCAGTGGTTACCTCTTATCTTCTCAACAATAAAGAGAATCAGAATCACCAAAACTAAACTGCAAGGGATGCGGAGCAGAGACCAAGGTTCAACTGTGAAACCTTGGACATTAGCAACCATATGGAGCTGTAATTTAATGGGAAACCAGTCTTGTTTTTGAAACCACATGGATAGCACCTGACCAATCAGTAATGGCCTGGAGCATGTCAAACTTCTGTGTTCTTCCAAAATTTCTTTATACCTAATCCTAAGCTTCTGGTTATAACTTAAAAAAAACCTAACAGTGGTAAGTTGATTGAAAAAAAAAAAACTAATGAAAGTGATGGTAAGTCCAATTCTAGACATGCACCAGTTGTCTTGTGTAACCAGTACAATTAGTAATTCAATATCTGTAATGTATTCAATTTTGATTTGAATGAATTAGGTATAAGAAAAAAGGGTATCACCAGTAGTTATGCTATTTTTTTTTTACTTCTTCTGTGTTAATATAGCTTGTTTTCAGATCTACATTTCACTCTTAAAGTTTTCCTTCAAATTTTGCCAGATAGTGACTAAAAATGTACTCTTTTTTTGCAGTTCTCTGCTTGGCTCTTTTATGGAAACCAGTCCATTAAGTATCACGCCATAGAAATGCACAACCCTGTATAAGGGTGTATGCTTGTGCTCAGTTCAGTGAATTAACTCAAATCTCTTCATTGACCTCAACTTGCACTATAAATCTGAAAATGTTTTGAAAAATGTGTCACACAAAAGTCCTCTAATATGCTCCAATAACACTAAGATTGAGATTTTGATTTTCCATGTATTTCAATAAGTGCCCTGCAAAAGGCTAAATTATAGATGATATAAAAGATGGACGCAGCTTCTAGGTCTGAAAAGAGAAGTCAATGTGGAAGTCCCTTAAGCCTGAATTGTTTTAAAAAAAACCATCTTGTTATTTATAAGTTTGTAGAGTATGACCCTACAATAATGCATTAGAGAAAACCCCAACAATCATATGAACACCAATGAACGCCCTTTTAACAGGAAAAAAAACTCCAACAGAACCAGGCTCAGGGAGGGGCGGGGCCATCTGCTGTGACCAGTTGGGGAGAGAGAAGGAAGACAGGATAAAGACATGCTGTGGAAGAGAGACAGGTTAATAACAAGTATGATTCAATGCAGAGACTATTAACACATAGTGAGTGAGAAAGGTGACTGGAAAGGAAAAACTCAATGCATCATGGGAATCCCCGGCAGCCTACACCTATTGCAGCATAACTAAGGGAGGATTCAGGGTCACCTGGTCCAGCCCTAACTATATGCTTTAGCAAAAAGGAAAGTTTGAAGCCCAATCTTAAAAGTAGAGATAGTGTCTGTCTCCCGAATCCAAACTGGAAGCTGGTTCCACAGAAGAGGGGCCTGAAAACTGAAGGCTCTGCCTCCCATTCTACTTTTAAATACTCTAGCAACAAGAAGTAGGCCTGCAGAGCGAGAGCGAAGTGCTCTAATAGGTTGATATGGTACTACAAGGTCATTAAGATAAGATGGGGCCTGATTATTTAAGACCTTGTATGTGAGGAGCAGGATTTTGAATTCTGGATTTAACAGGAAGCCAATGAAGGGAAGCCAAAACAGGAGAAATCTGCTCTCTCTTTCTAGTCCCTGTCAGGACCTAAAATGGCCTAAAATTAGCTAAGACTGCTGGGTCTAGAGATGGCTTTTTAAGTAACGGTTTAACTACTGCTAGCTTGAAGGCCTCTGGTACATAGCCTATTATTAGAGATAAGTTGATCATACATTTGGACAGGTTTCTAGAAATGCTTAACCAACAGTTTTAAATTCTCCCTAATGTCGCCTGCTCTGGCCCCTGGAAGACAACTACCCGTGTTTGGTGGCGTAGCTTTGCATGTCTCAGAATAGAATCGCCAATTAGTTTGATTGCCGGGGGGTGTCGCTGAGTGGGGAGACAGAATTAGACACATGAACTGGTTGGTGTACCAGGCTTCTGTTTAAACTACATTTCCTCCTCACTGTCACCCAGCCATCCGGTTTCCCCAGCTGCTCAGGACAGTCTGCAGGGGGACAGCTATATAGGGGGGCCTACGCTACCTTCGGCTCCACAGGCTACAGGGACCTGGCTATTTTGAGGGTGCAAAGCAGAGTCTCCAGTTCAGTGATCCTGGCCTCCAGAGCTGCAAACAGGCTACATTGAAGTATCATTATTGCTAAAGGAGGCTGAGGGGTAATTAAACTTACTTAAACTTAGACTTATATCACTTTTAACAGAGAAAAAAAAAAAAAGGAAAAGAAAAAGAGAGAGAGAAACCCTTCCGGGAAAAAGTTTAATCGTTGTCATAGTGAACATGGTGAGCTAAGACAGCTCGCTGATACACAAAAACAAACATCTGCAATTACAACCACGTTTTGGGTGAGGCTTCTCAAAAGGCTACCGACTGAAGGCTGGCTGACAATTATAATACAATGCATCATTAGTAGAACATATGACAGAAATACCACTCAGTCTGGGAACCATATTTCTCTTGCTTTGGTCTAAAATCTTTTCCAAAAATGAGGTTTGGTCTGCCTTGTGTACTTATAATTCCATCAATAACTGCTTCGTTAAAAGGTTGAAAAAAAAAAAAAAAAAATCATAGTTGTTTATAAATCAAGGACTTAACACTCATTAGAACAAGCATGCTGTCACACAGCTGAAAAATTGGGTGGTTTAAATAATAAAACATGCTTCTTACAACAAAATTATGACAACCAAAGTAATAAGATGCATGGACTCTTAAACTGAGTGGCATTTCCTTGTAATTCTGTGGCAGTTGAAAATAGCAAAATGTTTTTGGAAGAGTCTTCAAGAAGCAGGCAAACAGTTGTTGTTCAGCAACTGCGTATGTGTCACAATTCTTCAACATCCAAAAAAAAAATAAATAAAAAAATAAAAAATAATGAAATGGTCAACGATTCATCTTTTCAAGTGAGCATTTCTGAAGCATAAACATTCTTTTTTTTTTTTAAGTGGAGCTCTGCAAAGAGTAACTACACAAACAGACAGCAGTTCTGCCTCTTGAAATCCTCCCCTGTGTTAGCAGAGAACATAATCCAAAAACTACCCAAAAAAATGTAAATAAATTTTAAAAACAAAAAAACAAAAAAACAAAACAAAAACACCAACATTCAGGTTGTGACTCGCTCGCTTATGACATTTTAGTTTATAATAAAAAAAATAAAATAAAAATAAAAAAAATAAAAAAAGAAAGAAAAGAAGGAAAAAAGGATGTTTCAGATTCCATAGTTTAAAGTGCAGAGCTGCTGTAATGAGCTGCATGTGACACATGTAGTGTTGCATGTGGGAAAAGAAAACTGCTTCTGCACAGCATCAAGGCAGCGATGCCTGAAATGTATGATTCCCCAGCTGACCTGTGATTCTTTTTTTCCATCCCAATGTCTGGAAACACCTTTATAAAATATAATTAAGAAACAAAAGAAAAGATAAAATCTAAAATACATTACCAATCACAGTGCAATAAATTCGGAGAAGATTCATTCAAAACTAAATTTCACCATCTATTTAAACTCTGTGAGAGATCAGTTGTACAACCATGTACCACTCCTCATCTGTATCACCCTTTTCTGTATAAGTGCTGCATTATGAGCGTCCACCAGCAGGCGGTGCTGTTACACTGTATGATGACAGAACAAAAGCAAGGATGTGGGAACTGAAAGCAGAACAAAAATGGACCTATGGCTCTGTAAACAAATATATATTGTCACACTACTACGCACGTAGCAATTACTTTATAGTTAACAGTTCTATTCATGTGGTCCATCCTGTCTTACTGCATTTTTAAAAAGGCTATTCACACAACTCTGAAGTTTTGAAACAGAGACTGCAAAGAAGGTAACAGAACTCCAATTTTTTTTTTTTCTCCTCCACTTCCATGAGAGACGCCTGATTTCTGTGATTAGGGACAGTATGGCTACAGAAGCAGAGTCCTTTCTGATTTTGAATTAATTACAACATCATTATGCGAGTCTGCGAGGTGCAGCATAAGTTGTGGTAAAGCTGTCACACAGAGAATCAGTTGGATGGCTTACAAACAGGTCCATCTGTAAGCTATCCAATGTTTGTAATATTTCAATATGATGATGATTTCTTTTTAAAATGAACTAATTTTATTTATTTTTTTTTTAAATTGCACTGGCTATGGCTAAAAAGAACAGATTTCTCTGTGAGCTTTACTGTAATGACACGCAGACACGCCAATCAGCTGTGTCCACATTTGATCAGTGGGCTCAGTGTCCAGTACAGTCAAGCAACCCTGTTTGCTGTGCATCAGAGAGCGCTCCAACATCATTCTGTGTGTGCAATTTAAAATGCTCTTCAATTCTTTCTTTCTACACTGCACATTGAACAAAATCAAGGAAACTTCCTGAAATTGTATGCATGTTCTTAAACCTTAAATAAATTCAAACAAGATGGAATTCTTGGCAAAAGACTCTTGGTGCCGGCAGTGTGATGAAGCATCATCGAGTGTTCCCAAGTAATTTTTTTCCCCATGTAGACATTAACGGCTGCCTGTGCCATCTGTGATTGAATTTCTAGTACGCAACATCTTTACTCATATTTCGAATGTTCAACCATTGCTAATCAGCTAGCCTTGGCTATTCCTATTTCTGGTTTTCCTACTTCCTGGTCAAATAGACTGCATGGACAAAAGTATTGGGCCACACTTTTTAAACGTTGAATTCAGCCGTTTCCAGTTCTAGTGCTGCAGTTGTAAAAATCAAGCATCTAGCCATGCAGTCTGACTTCACAAACATTTCCTAAAGAGCTTATTGAATTTAAGCATGACACTGCAATAAGCCAGTTTAATGTTTCTTCCCTCCCAGATATTCCACAATCAACTGCAAGTCGTCTTATTCCAAACTGGAAGCATTTAGGAACTGCAGCCTCAGAGTGTTAGACCACATCAAACTACACAGTGAGGTCACCAGGTGCTGAGGTACATGGTGTGTTACCAACACTCAGCACAAAAATTGTGCGCCAGGAGATCATAGCATAGGTCTCTATGGCTGAGCAGCTCCTACGGGTATTATGGTAGGTGACCCAGTAGTTTGGTCCATAGCTGTGCAGCTGTTCTAGTCTTTGATGCCAGGCAACTTCCAAAAAACAAGCTCATCCAAATATACCATCTTGGACAGCACGAGTTCTTGTTCTACTCTGGACAACTGTCACAAGCTCGTCTCGACTCTAACCAGAAAATACAGTCCAAGATGGAGAGCCTTTTTGGGAAAAACAGAAGAAGTTCCTTTCATGGCACAAATCTAATCATTTGAAGTGCTGAAGTAACATTCGAGGTTGATTTTTGATGTCTCGGTCCACTTGGGGTGAATTACATTCTTCTAAATAAAACAAATAAAATCTTTAAAGACCTCAATCAACAAAAACAGCTACAGTACCAAAAATATGGTTTTCCTCTGTGTGTCCATAGTAAACATGCAGATGCCTTCAGAAGGAAGCTGCCTGACTGTTACTGATTAATGCTACACATGAGGCCCAGAGGAAAGCTGTACGGTTCAAAGCCTATGCCAAACGGAATGAGGGAGTTTGAGCTCTTACAGTCAGTATGCAATGTTGTATCACCAGGAAATCTCACAATGAAGAGAAAGTATGTTTGCCCACTGGGTGTCTGTTCTTTAAACTTACTGAAGGCGGTGGGTGGTCAGCAGCAGCAGTTTAGGGGGGGCTGCCATATAAAGCAAAAGGAAGATGAGCAAGGCTTTCGGCTGCTGTTAAACTTCTTCAGAGGACACTCACTGCCAGCAGCTTTCTTGACCAAAGGTAAGCACCGGTTTAAATCCAGACCACAACGCTTGGAAAATAACTTTGAAAAGGTTCGTCCTCTCTGAACTAGAAGCTTAATGGTACTTGGTAGACTTCCGCTCTCAGTGCACTTCATGGCGACCGTGGTCAGTCAGTTAATGACTTTGATTTGAGGGTTGGGGGTGAAGTAAAGTTCAAAAGTTTGTCCTTCTATTGTCGTCTCATCTCCCCGTCCTCCTCATGGTTCTCACATGTCCACCTGGTTCACAATGTTTCTTTTGGAGGCACAAGAGTCAGCCAGAAGAAGCGCCAGCTGATGAGAAGTGTGTGTGGAAGGAGAGGGGCAGTGGTGGCATTACCAAATATGGGATTCACAGTGAGTCATTTTAATGACGCCCACTCCTCCACCTAACCGGCGGTAGTTCATTCCTCCGTACAACCTAGAAAGAGGAGACAAGTCAAAGAATGCCAACAATGCAAACACAGGGCTGCACAATTAATCCAAGTGTAATCTCCATCACCATTTTTGCTTCCCACAATTATATAATCACATTTGAGCAATATTTAAAATTCTTGCTCTGCCATTGAAAACACAAAGAAAAAGCCACTCAAGCACTCCCTAAAACTCAGCCCCTGTCCACATGTCTGCATGTACTAATCACAGCTGTTCACTGCGTCATGCAGCTTGAAGTTCCCTGCAGGAGTCTGTGTGGCTGCAACCAGAGTTAAGATTAGCATTTGTGTTCAGTGTCACAGCTATGAATTTATTTAACACATGTAGACGCACATCACATAGCTAAGTGTTTGACAGCTGTACTTGATGTATAGTAACTAAAGAACTGATCCTACTAGAATACCATTTACCTCCACGTGTTGGCGTCAGGGTCATAGACTTCTATAGTTTTCAGATACGTCGTGCCATCAAAGCCTCCAACTGCCATCAGTTGACCATTAACCACTGCTAAGCCCACCTACAGACACACATAGTTACTCCAATGCCTCATACAACATATGGTATCATTTAAGGTGTGCATTAAAATACATAAACATCCATCATCACTCTCCAACACACACTCACCCCACTCCGTCTGGACGTCATTGCCACTACAGGAGACCATTGATTGGTCCTGGGGTTGTATCGCTCTGCGCTGCTTAGCTCTGTGGTGTCGTCTCTACCTCCCACAGAGTAAATCATGTCCTGATAGACCGCACAGCCAAGGTGCTTTCTTCTGGTTCCCATGGGGGACACTGTGTGCCAGCGGTTCTCTTGAGGGTTGTAGCGCTCCACTGAAGAGGAAAGAATGAGGTGATTAAATAACAGGAGAAAATGGCATAAATATGTAGACAGATTTCAATCATTGGTTCAACTAAGAACATCGTTCAAATGTGGTTATCAATGGGAAACAAGAAACACCACTTACATACAGTTTGGTTTGCTTTACCATTAACTTTAACCAATAAGAGTAAGTGTAACTCCTTAGCTATTGGTCATTAAAGATCATCATCATCATCAAGCCTCTGTAATTGTATTCAAGCCCCAAATTGCAACCCTAAACTGCTCCCTGTTGGTCAAACTTAACTGAAAAAGTTTCAGTTTTTATTACACTGCTTTTAGACATAAGTTACAGCATTTTGTCAGATAAAGTATCAGTTTTTACACACAAATATAATTCAACAAATTCTTTTAATCTAAGTATTTTAAAAATGTTGCATTTTTTAAATCCTCAGCTTTTCAACTAAAATCTGTCTAGTTATGTTTAGTAATTATAGTAGTCAAAATGTGACACTGTGCACTGGAAATTGTTATAGCGATTCAACTAAAGAAAAAGAAAAAAAAAAAAGAAAGATTTAAGACATTTGACACCCATCCAAACTGAGGCATGTTTGTCATTTGTTTTAGTTTCTGTGTATTTTTGACATTTAAAATATTTATTTTTAGGCCTTTTTGACACTATAGAGGACGGGAACAGAGAGCAGTGAATGACACACAGGAAATGTCCAGAGCCAGACTAGAACCCAGGCCCCTGCGGCAGTCTTTATCTAAATGTGGCTCGCCTGCTCTGCGAGCTGTTCTGGCAGCAATACTTCAGACATAAAGACTTGAACAACCTCCAGGGAGAAAACTGAAGGCAATTCTGAAGTGCCAAAAACTGCAGTTCCCGAAGTGGCCATTTGAGCCTTTTCCAAACATTTGTCCATCAAGGACTGTTAAAATGTTAAAATAAAGTGCATAATAACAAAGAAGTTGTTTACACTCCTATGGATTTCCCCCCTTTTAAACATTACAGCGATCATTTTTGTGCTGCCATATGGGGCTGCATCTGCTTGCTGTTTGGTATAGACAATCTATGCTCTCATTTGGTGAGTGAAATGCCACTATTTGAGATTAGTCTATTACTTGGCACCAATTAGCAGGTACCTGATAACCAAATCTTGCTAAGGTTAGCAGATGACTTAGTATTTCTCCATCTTTTTTATACAGTCCATGCTTACACATGATTCAGTGCACACCTGTGTTTAATGGAGATGTCCCATCAGATCCTCCTACAGCATATAGAAATCCTCCCAGTACAGCCACAGCTACACCCAGTCGCCTGGTGCTCATGGATGCGACACGAGTCCATTTGTTCTCCTTGGGATCATACCTGAACACAGCCAGGTTGGCCATTTAATTCCAAAGAATCATTTTTGCATTAAACTAACTTTTATCTAGTAGCCACCAATGGAACTGGAAACCCAAATAGTATAGTACAGGAAATCTGCTACCTTTCAACTATGTTGAGACAGGAAACTCCATCCTGCCCTCCCACTGCATACAGATATCCTCCAAGTACAGCGACGCCAACACTGGTGCGACAAGTACTGGTGGGGGCCACATCGCTGCTCCACTGGTTGGTTTTAGGATCGTATCTAAAGTGGAGGTAATCATGTAAATAGTAGAATAAGACACACACACAAACAGACTGTTGGAAAGCTGTGAATATCTACAGTGAAAGCCTCAGGGACTGCCGCTGACCTCTCCACAGAGTTGAGATATGACGAGCCATCGTGACCTCCCACTGCATACAATAGATCATCCAGGACACTGACACCAACTCCACATCGCCGCTTACTCATTGAAGCTACCATCCGCCACTCATTAGTCTGCGGATCATAGCGCTCCACACTGGAAATAGCGTCACCGCTGCACCAACCTCCAACTGCAAGAGAAAGAAAGAAAGAAGAAAAAGTAAAAAATAAAAATCAGGCTTTTCCTACAAAATACCAACAGTCGACTGGTAAGGACTTAAATTAAAAACAAATAAAATGCAATATTAGGAAATCATGGTTTTAATTTCTGTGCCTAAGATACTGACCTGCAAAAAGGACCTCTCCACATCGGATGGGTTTCCTGGGTCGGGTTCTGGGACCCTGCATTAGCGGTCTCTCCTGTGGTAGCAGCAGGTAATTCTTGGCCTCATCCACCAAGTCTCTGTAACATTAACCCCAAAGTAAACAGTTTCATATTAACCACAATAGCATCAATTTCCTCGATTATATGTGCACAAGCAGGATTTTTACCACTACTCCCCTTACAAACAGCACTCACCTGCACTCCTCGTCACTCTTGATGAGTGGATCTGAACCCACTGTGCCCACGAGGAACTTGGGGCTGAGGAGTGGCAGGCGGACATGCTGTAGGACCTGCAGAGCAAATACAATTAAAAAAGTCAAGCTTGAAACATTAGTCAGACTAGAACAACTAACTAAAAATGTAGTTCACAAACTATCAGAAAAACACTCAAACTAAACTAACAAGGAAAAATGGACTAAGAGAATTAAACCAAAGGAGATGTTGAATGTACTGCAGGCTTCTAGCGACAAACCTGGGGTAGCTGAGGTCTTCGCTCCTGGATGCTGTATTTCACCCAGGCCATCACGGCATTGAAAACCTGCTCCTCACTCCGCACGTTCAACTCATCACTGGAGATTATGTCAATGAGCTGGTTGGCAGGCAGGAGCATGAACTCCTCACTTTCCATTACCTACAAAAATGAAGTGCAACAGACAGTCAAAGAGAGCACTGTTTATTAAAGGTCTCAGCACATCAGTCAGCAAATCAATTTTCATTACCATCAACGTCAAATAAATTGTATTCACACTTTTTAAAGCAATTCACCTTTCTCACAAAAGCATGATGTGAAATCTCATTTCTACACTAACAAAAGCAAAACCTGTCACGGGGAATAATCTCGCTCTGTCTTTTCTTCTCTCTGTTCTTTGTTTTCCAAAGACAAATTGGCTTTTAGCTGATGACATTAAAAATAACTGAGGTGAGGTGACTGAATAGCTCTCATCAGTTCATTTCACAATATTTTAGTTGGGCTAGCATCCTGACTTTCTCCACTTAAGATCATTGCCCTGTTGATGCCTGCATTGCCGTTGCTCTGTAAAATGTGTTGGCACAACTTTGAAATCATTGCGTGAACATGGACTGGAAGGAATCTGGGCCTTGAGGTAGCAAAGTGCAATTTTTAACATAATGGCTTACAGTACTGAAAACAGAAAATTCACTTTAAGAGAGAAGTCTTAAAGGAGACCTACAGCACTGCTGTAACACTTTCTCAAAGTGTTACTGTGGACTAAGGTAATGCCACCTAGAGTAAGTATATGGTTAGACACCACGTTCGGAAGATTTTTTTTTTTTTTTTTTTTTTTAAAATGGGAAAGAGTACAATAACCTCAGTGTCTGAATTTAGCAGGAAATTAAAGGTCGTTCTTTATCTTTAAGACATCCTACAGTTTAATTAGTTTGTGTATTCTAGTTTCATGGATAGATAAAGATGGGTATCGTTGCATAGCAATGAAAATGCAAGCTATAACTTACAATAATATTGCGTATAGAAATGGCCCTAGCACAGAACCCTTTTGTGTGTGAACAAGACTCCCTATTTATTAAGATAAGATTCAAACCACTGTAGTAAAACATTGTGGTCAACAGTACTGAATACTGCACTGCGGTCTAGCAGCACAGAGAATAAGAGTAAGATCATCTGTAACCCTCACTAGTACTGTGATGAGATCTGAAACCCGACTGAAATTCCTCTGCAGATGAAAGAATAGCTGTAAAACAGATAACTGATAAAGATTTTTTTTTTTTTTTTTTTAAATAAAAGGACGGGGAAAAGATTGGTCTATAATTAGCCAAGACAGCTGGATCAAGTAAAGGATGATGACACAGCTGTTCAAATATGTCTCTAGAAGGGACAATACTTTGTGTACCTTCTGAGAGAAAGGTTTATGATCAGGGATTTGGTAATTAGGTTAAATGACAGCTGTTTAAAGCCACGATTTTCAAAGGACGGTAAGGTCTTGCATCATGCATGCTTTGCACCGTGCGGGTATATTTGTGGTGTTCGTTGCCTTTGTGGAAACATGGTATTGACAGTTTGCAGTGCATGCTATTCAGCTTCTTTTTCAGACTTTCAAATTCAATTTTATTTATATAGCACCAAATCACAACACCGGTTGCCTGAAGGCTCTTGTGCCCTGTGATATGTTGGCCCTTTAAACAGCCAAAATATCTTCACCATCTTTTTCAGTATTTCCTTGTCTTTGAAGCCTTGGGCTAATTCCACTGGCGCTTCAGTTTCTGTTTTCTAGTTTCATCTTTTATCTGCTCACACTCCTTACGCACTGGTATGTATAGCTTCAGTATCCAAAACAGTAGCACATGTGCTTCCGCTAGCCACTTCCCTACACTGTATTTGTTAAACTAACTTGAGATGGCTATAACTCTGTTCCAACCACATGACTGATCTGGCAATTATTTATTTATTTATCTATCTATCAAATTTTATAGCAACCATGTCTCATATGAAGGTTATCTTGTGATAATCTTCTTTACAGGAAGTGCAGAATTATTAGGCAAGTTGTATTTTTGAGGAATTATTTTATTATTGAACAACAACCATGTTCTCAATGAACCCAAAAAACTCATTAATATCAAAGCTGAATGTTTTTGGAAGTAGTTTTTAGTTTGTTTTTAGTTTTAGCTATTTTAGGGGGATATCTGTGTGTGCAGGTGACTATTACTGTGCATAATTATTAGGCAACTTAACAAAAAACAAATATATACCCATTTCAATTATTTATTTTTACCAGTGAAACCAATATAACATCTCCACATTCACAAATATACATTTCTGACATTCAAAAACAAAACAAAAACAAATCAGTGACCAATATAGCCACCTTTCTTTGCAAGGACACTCAAAAGCCTGCCATCCATGGATCCTGTCAGTGTTTTGATCTGTTCAACATCAACATTGCGTGCAGCAGCAACCACAGCCTCCCAGACACTGTTCAGAGAGGTGTACTGTTTTCCCTCCTTGTAAATCTTACATTTGATGATGGACCACAGGTTCTCAATGGGGTTCAGATCAGGTGAACAAGGAGGCCATGTCATTAGTTTTTCTTCTTTTATACCCTTTCTTGCCAGCCACGCTGTGGAGTACTTGGACGCGTGTGATGGAGCATTGTCCTGCATGAAAATCATGTTTTTCTTGAAGGATGCAGACTTCTTCCTGTACCACTGCTTGAAGAAGGTGTCTTCCAGAAACTGGCAGTAGGACTGGGAGTTGAGCTTGACTCCATCCTCAACCCGAAAAGGCCCCACAAGCTCATCTTTGATGATACCAGCCCAAACCAGTACTCCACCTTGCTGGCGTCTGAGTCGGACTGGAGCTCTCTGCCCTTTACCAATCCAGCCACGGGCCCCATCCATCTGGCCCATCAAGACTCACTCTCATTTCATCAGTCCATAAAACCTTAGAAAAACCAGTCTTGAGATATTTCTTGGCCCAGTCTTGACGTTTCAGCTTGTGTGTCTTGTTCAGTGGTGGTCGTCTTTCAGCCTTTCTTACCTTGGCCATGTCTCTGAGTATTGCACACCTTGTGCTTTTGGGCACTCCAGTGATGTTGCAGCTCTGAAATATGGCCAAACTGGTGGCAAGTGGCATCTTGGCAGCTGCACGCTTGACTTTTCTCAGTTCATGGGCAGTTATTTTGCACCTTGGTTTTTCCACACGCTTCTTGTGACCCTGTTGACTATTTTGAATGAAACGCTTGATTGTTCGATGATCACGCTTCAGAAGCTTTGCAATTTTGAGACTGCTGCATCCCTCTGCAAGATATCTCACTATTTTTGACTTTTCTGAGCCTGTCAAGTCCTTCTTTTGACCCATTTTGCCAAAGGAAAGGACGTTGCCTAATAATTATGCACACCTGATATAGGGTGTTGATGTCATTAGACCACACCCCTTCTCATTACAGAGATGCACATCACCTAATATGCTTAATTGGTAGTAGGCTTTCCAGCCTATACAGCTTGGAGTAAGACAACATGCATGAAGAGGATGATGTGGACAAAATACTCATTTGCCTAATAATTCTGCACTCCCTGTAATCTTCTTTTCTTGACATTCATTCCATCATACATGCATGTGTGGTTTCAAACAAATGAAGGGGAAGGAATTACGGAAATGCCAAACTATAAAAATGAGTTTTCAGCATTCGCTTAAAAGAAAAACTAGAACCTCAGTTTTACCAAAACAGAGAGGAAATTAGAATACATCCAATTAGTAACGGCAGAGAAATGTTCCTTGAGGCAGGAGAGGCTGTTGAGGTTGTTGGGCTTGACAGAAAAATATAACTGTGTTTCATCCTGCAAAGCAGTGGTAAGAGATCCCATTAAAACCATTAACTAGGTGACCCAGGGGTAACATATAAAAATAAATAAATAAACAGAATTGGTGTAAGGCTTGAAGCCTAGGCACTCCACAAACGAGCGGTGCAGATTAGAGCATACATTGATTAATATGAATTCTAAAATATCTGTTTGATAAGTATGAAAAAAAAAAAAAAAAAAAAACTATTAAGGAGAAGAACCGGTGATCCCAACCCAGCTTCATAGTATGCTAATAAGTAGCATTATCAACAGTATCAAAGGCTGCAGATAAGTCAAGCAGGACATAAATGGATTGCTCACCTTTATCCGAGTGCATAAGGACATCATTAATAATTTTCAATAACGCTGTTTCAGTGCTGTGTCTGTAACCTGATTGGAATTTATAGAAAATATTATTTACTCTAAAATCCGAATGAGTTGACGACCAACAACTTTCCTAAGGATTTTGAAAAGAAACAGATTGGAAATTGGCCTATAAGTATTTAAATCAGTGGGCTCTAAGGAGGTTTGTTTTTTAGTAGAGGGACGACGCTGGCTGGAATCCAGCCAGATGAAAGGGACCGACTGACAGGCAGGGTCAAGTGCACAAGTGTGACACTATATTCAAAATATCTGTTGAAGAGATTATTTGAGAGAGACTTGGAATATGGAGAGCAGTCTTTTTCCGTCTCTGTTCAGCCTTTCTTCATTCTCTTCTTTGGTGAATCTGACTTTTAACAGTGCGACATGATGCTGAATTGAAGAGCATATATTATTAAACCAGTTAACTAAGTCACTGATATCTGAAAAAATAGTTTTTGATGCAGTTACATCTGGGTTGCACATCACCAGCTGTTAGTATCTGCACCTTCACAGCCCGTTTGTACTTGACAGTGTGTTTTTGCCTGAAGTGGAGAAAGTGATGCTTTCACCTTTAGCAGGAACAGATTTCTATTTTATGTACTGTGATTTGTTGGTTTAAAGTCTGAAGCTTTGAAGTAGCTCCAACTGTCGTCTTTACCTGCATTTGTCTTCTTGTTGTGCGCACCACAGAACGTAAATGTATGGCCTTACTATACCAACAACACCATGATATGGCACTTTTAGATCATTTACAAATGTAAACCATTTTTATAACAGACGCATTTGGCACGACAGAAAGAAATCTCTATATCCTAAATGTATACTAACGTATGTATACTAAATGTAAATTTTGCACATTCAATCTAAAGCAACATGTAGAATCATTGTAACACGTAGCACTATACAGCGATTATAAACGACCGTGAACAGTTGTATGTGGGTTCTTACCTCCTGAAAATTGTGCTGGGTGAACTTATCTGCAATGCGGAGCAGCTCGCGGCAGGAGTGTGTGTCAGCAAAGGCCCTGATGCCCAGGCAGTTAGATGGATCCAGCTGCCTCTTAAGGAACTCGCAGCACGCCTCCTGGATCTCAGCAAGCTGGAGGAGGCAGGCTGCAGGGAGCAGCGTCTGGACATTCCCCTCCTCTACAGTCACCTGAAAGGGTGCAGATCAGGACATCAGATACACTGAGTTTTTTAGCTTTAGCAACTGATTGATCACAATGTGTGGTCTCCACAGCTCCTCCGTTTTTATGCATTCAAACTGTGGCTCCATGTCAGTCTCCTCACATCTTTTGAGAAAGTTCTGCTATAGTCAAGGTTATAGCCAAGAAACATGTTTTTCATTTTAATCATAGACCTTACTGTACTCTGCAGGAAACAAAGCCGCCTGCAAAGGTTTTGCTCTCCTGATTCGTACTTTTGGAAAACTTTGCCATAGACTTGTTTGGACAGGTTTTTTTACATTCAATATGCAGTTTCATCAGTTTGTCTTTTTTTTTTTTTTTTTTTTTTTTTTTTTTTTTAAACTTAATGTGCACCTGCGGTTAATTCTAACAGCATGCTACCATCCCTACCTGTGATGTATAAGCAAAGTCAATCAGCAGCTCCATGGCTCTCTCATCAATGTCACGAATAACCACTTCCGTCTGCCTGCTCTCTGCCAGCTCTCCAGTAAACATGGCCCTGAAGAAGAACGGGAAAAAGAAAGATGACATTATTTTTTGTGTCACAGCAATCACTGGAGTCCAGGAATTTAGCTGTAAATAAACTAGCCTGATGTGGGATCACACAGTGTCTCCTCATACCTGAAATAGGGGCTGCAGGCAGAGAGGATCACACGGTGCGCGTAGATCTTCTTGGCACCCACCACCAGCACCACGTCACAGAGCTCCCGGTGTTTTCTCAGCAGGTTGATCACCTCCAGGGTCTGCCTCGGGTGTTTGTCTGAGACGTAGGGCATGCGTGCAGGCTGGGGGACCCCTTCAGGGAGCTTGTTGGGGTCCCCCAGAGTACAGCGGCTGGTGATGTCCATTCCAGTGGCGTCCTGACGTGCGCTGGTGGCCCTGACATTAGCACATATCAATATACTCTTAGTTACATTAAATTAATTTCAATTAGAATAAGCTAGCCAAGAACCCACAGTGATGGTAATGCTGAGAGAATGCTGACCCCAGCCAGGCAGTCGGACCACGAACTTTAACAGGTAACAAAAGTGATGAGCAGTCAGGCTGCGCCCTCCATTTCTACCACTCATGTTTCTAAAGTACAATCACTGTGGTGATCACTCTAAAGTCTCTTTGTGCTCATTTTCATCTTTGCATTGTATTAATATCTAAATACTACGGAAAAGATCATGTGTGTTCTCATTAGGATGTGTTGGTGTGTGAGACTGTAGCTTATAGGTTTATACTTGTAAATGACAAGTGCGAGACAAGGTGTTTCAGGACATTTTGCAGAGAAACACATAAGTAACAAAGTACTTTCTCGTGGGAGTAATTAAGTTATATAGTGCATTACTTTACAAGAAAAGTGTTCCGAGTACATGCTAGGGCTGTCACGATTAGTCACGAATACGTCAACTATTAAAATTGTCGACGACTGATTTAATAGTCGACTTGTCGTTTAAAGCTTTGCAAGATCCCGAAAGACGCAGGAATAAGTAGTAGGATTTAAGAGTGTAATAACGGACTGAAACAGAAGACGGCAGCACTGCATGTACAAGGACCTCATATCACCATATCACCCCCCCTCCAAAAAAAAGAAAAGCACTTCACTCTCAAACTGCAGGCTTACTTGTGGTTCCTAGGATATTTAAAAGTAGAATGTGATGCAGAGCCTTCAGCTTTCAGGCCCCTCTTCTGTGGGCCTAGCTCCTAGTTTGGATTCGGGATACGGACACCTACTTTTAGGATCAAGATTAAAACTTTACTTTTTGATAAAGATTACAGTTAGGCTTGAATTAGGTGACCTTAAATCCTTCTTTAGTTATGCTGCAATAGGCTTAAGGCGCCATGGGTGGCTTTGCTCACGATGAAAAGGAGGAGAATAGGTCAAAACATGAAGCCAAGACTTTGTTGAGTGGTTTTGGGTTTTTTTTTGCAAAGTTATTTGCACAAACGAAACTCCTCCCCCTTTGTGTCTGTGTGTCTCTGAGCTTCTGTACAGGATTATCAATAAAATACCGGTAAAAAGTGGCTAGATCGTAGCCGCAGCAGTTCTGACAGAGGTTTCTTCCTGTTATAAGGGCGTTTTTCTCTTCCCACTGTTGTCAAATGCTCGCTCATAGGGGGTTGTCTGGTTGTTGGGGTTTTCTCTGTGTTATGGTAGGATCTTTACCTTACAATATAAAACGCCTTGAGGCGACTGTTGTTGTGATTTCATGGTATATAAATAAAATTGAATTGAACTGAATACAGTGTCAGTCTATGGCCATCAGCTGAACCTAATATAGCAAGGTCAGTACCCTGCATGTGCCTCAGCCAGTGTAAACTTATCCACACCGGTCGGTTGACTTGGTGTACCCCTGCATCTTTTTAAATCCCAGGATGACTTTGGGTTTGGGATTTACTTCAGCTCATGTTCCCAGTACTGGTCAAGAATTCCTAACACCTGAACGCATCCTCTTCACTTTGTGTCCTTACCATTACAGATGGGAGAAATGACATCATTGCACATACATGACCTTTGTTAAAGACGTTTTGTGGATTGTATTTAATTCATAATGTAAAGTTTCAAATCTTAGTCAAAAAAAATTTTTAAAAAAAATCAGCAAATAAATATCCTTTGAGTGACATATTTTCACATAATAATGTGAAAATAAAATGCAATGTAATCCAGGGCAACTCAGCAACAAGACAAAACTGCTGTGATATTTTTAAAAAAGGAACTTCATCTAGCCAGCATTCACAGGAACTGTTGGCCTGAGGAGAAAAGGTCATGATACACTGAGCCTCTAATGCTTTCACTCAAAACATTCTGACCTTTCATTATGTCATTTGAATTGCCCTAACAGTAACAGTAGGAAAAGTACAAAATTAAAAAGCTTAAGTAGGTGTGACGTTTTAAAGACTGGAGTCAAAGTAGTGGGGTAAATGAGGAGACATAAATGCTGCACCTATAGAGATTTTGATTTAAATTTAAACTGCTCCAGACTCTTATCAGAGACATTCGGGAAATTTTTTCTACTCCTGTAATTGGATGATGTCAGAGTAGGCGCCATTCCTACACGATTAGCTTTGGCTCTGGCGACACCCCACCGATCTGATGTTCAAACCTTATGTTTATAAGTGGCAGCCAATCAGATCAAAGTCTCTTAAAATGTGGGTGGTCTTTAGAGGGCTAAAATAGCTCATTTCAGACAGAAGATGAACTGAGGGGCCACACCAAGGTAGTATAAGATAAATAAGCATCATTTTGAACAATGACTCATACAAAACTACTCCAGTAGCCAAAGATTACAATTATGGACCTGAAAATTGACCTAACGAGTATCCTTTAAAGCTGCTGGTTGCACAACACAGGCAACTTTTAACTATAAAGCATAAAACAATAATTAGATACTGTCTTAGTGTTAACGTCTTAAATTAGGTCCTACCTACCCAATTACACACAGCTATTTTAGTTTTATATGACAAATGTAGAATTACGCTGTTTCATTTCACATTAATGACACTAAAACTGCCTTTACAATTAAACTTCCGGAAAATCGAGTCAGGATATTTTCTTTCCTCAGACAGAACAGAGAAAAGAGTTCACCTCAGTCACATTTCCAGTATTCTGTGTGGTTTCTGCTTGGACTGCACGAGTTCATGGCTGCAACACATGCATGAAACAGCTCATGTTTATAATCTGGATGGGACCTCAGCCCTTATAAACTATTATGTTACATTATACAAAAATGCTAATGTTGATCATTCTTCCCCCACCCAAAAGAGAAAAAAAATAACCTAATGTCCATCCCGTTTCACCTGTAACATGCACAACAGACTCCATGAACACAGTTTTTCATTTTGCATAGTGGCTCTGGTGTTTCCCCTTACTGTGAAAAGTTTATTTTTAGCCAGTCTTGTTTCACAGACTCCTGCTCTGCATCGTGACACCACCTATCTTCTCCAGTGGGCCATCAAACCTAAATTTAAAAGCCCAACAAAGCAGCAGAGCTAAGGTCAGTACCACCAAGTGCTATAGAGAGTTCTGGGTAGAACTTCTATTGAACCAGCCCCTTTGATCCCGTAAAGAAGGGATTTTTCTGCCTTTTAAGCTTATGTGGTGACATAACAAGGTGTCAATGAGCCATAGAGGATCTTTAACGCTCACACTGAAGGAATTTGATTGAGGATTTCCGTGACTACCACATCTGATATAATACTGCCGTTAAAAAGAAAATTGGTAAACAGTAACCAAAGAATCTGGAATTAACAGCCACATACTTTTGCCATTCTTCCCAGAAAACTACCACACTTACCTGCGCATTGGCTTTGCATCCATGCACTGAAGAACAATGTTTGGTCCTATACTTTCAAGTTAACCTGTGAAGAAAAACAACACAAATCAGCATTTCCTGCAGTTAGTCTGACCCCCACAAATATAAGATAAAAACTAGTATTTTTTTATATCTGATTTGTGATTCCTGCCTGCTGATGGGAAAAAATTACAACCTCTTGTGACAGCAGAATAATCATTTTTTCCTGTGATTTACTCCACACCACAATCCTACCTACCAAATTGACCACTTCTGTCAGCAAGACTGAGACCAAACAATCTACTGCTATCAAATTATGATCCTGCAATAAAACCTACCTTTGTATGCGTTTTGCTGACACTATGTGTGTGCAGCCTTCTCTCTGTAAATGTTCAGGAACTGGTGACTCACAGTGTCTTTCCGCTTCCTTCACATCTCACTCCACTATAACAAATTCTTATAGCCTTCTTCCATTCCATCAATTATTTCCTATCAAACACTTTTATCATCATATCAACCAGTATCACCCCTCTGCTGCCAGTCTTAATTTAAGTTTTTTTCCACATCCAATAACTTTTTTGATACTCACTAAAGCATGGCTCTCTATAGGCAATCATAGTCCTCTTTTCCTCTTACCTGAGGCACACCTACACCAACCCTGGCTGGTGGGGATTGCTGTCATTTTTCTTTTTAATTTAATGCATTCCCATTTTACTGCGTAGTATAACTTCATTCGAACATCTTGGCTTTACCAGAAAACTCTGAAGACCCTGGAATGATTTCAATATTTTACAGTCCACCTAGGCCAAACAATGTTTTACCCAAGAAGTTATCATACTTTACTCCAAATTATGATCAAATTCTTATCCTCAGTGATTTTAACATTAAAATTATGTTCTAACTGGTCAACCATCAATGACCATTCTAAATTTCCCTATATGAATGAATCCATCCAAGCATTCATTCATTCATTTTCTTCTGCTTATCCATTTCATAAAAATCACACACTTGATTCTAAAAATAAAATATCAATAGTGTAAATAAAAATAAATATCTCAGCACTGCCAGCAGCTCTCTGTCTCACGAGTGGCACAGAATGCTAAGCTGGCTTCCACCAACTGTTGAGTTAACAGACTGCTATCTATCTCCAAACATACTACAAGTAGCTCTCACTGTTTCAAACTTCAAACACACTGCTACCATTGCAGCGAGATGGAAAGAGACAGCAGTAAATGCTTAAGCCTACTGTAATTAGTGAAGATCAGTGGACAGAAATGAGCTGAACAGCTGAAGTTAAATATCAAGATTTTTTTTATGTATGTAAATAACAGTTAACTAAAAAAGTAAGCTAATTCATTACATTGTTTAACGGTTGCACCTTTTGTCTAAAAGTAAACCTCTAAAATAAAAACCCCCACACAACAACAAAACAACAACAACTGGCCTTACTTCCAGTTGATGTCACTCATTCAAAACCTGGAGTCCCTCCTTCACACACACATTCTTTCTTCCTTCTCGTTTTTGTCATATGGTTACACTGAGGTGTCAAGTGTTTCAGCCAGCTGCTGCTGCTGCACTAGATTAAATTAACCTAATCAGAGAGAAGTCAGAAAACAAGACCCCAAAATGGAAAGCGCTGTGTGGGTTCATCCAGACAGTAGCGGGCTTAGAAGGCTCATTTTAACGTAAGCTTTATTTCAAAAATATCCCCAATATTACTCCATCGGTCTACATTAACACAAGGCAGCTCTCTATGAGTTATTTATTTTTAGCTCTTCGACATATAGCTTAGCTAAGACACGCTAATTGTTGGCTGATAGCTGCATTAGCAGTTACCAGACTGGTTGGCGATTTATGATTTCCAGTGCTGTAGTAAGAGTTGTGTTAGTATGTGACTTAGCCAAAGAGGAGATAAAAGGAGAAGTAACGTCTTCCGAGGCTAAATGCGTTCCAAAAAACTGAAAATCGGGACTAGCTTCTTAACGCTACTTAACTTCCCGAGGATATGTGGGAAAGCTAGTGCTACAGCTAGCACTGAGATAGGAATTCCCTTCACAATACAAACGTTAAAACAACCTAATACAAGCAGAGACAACAAATTTAAACTATAAACGACATTCAAGAATAATCCAAAGCGTTTAGACTATTTCTGGTCGTCAGAGATGCTGTTTTAGCATCAGCCCACAAGCCACGGATTGAATATTATAAACTGTAGTGCTAACATTAATTAAATCAGTAGTGAGCGGTATATACCGATACCATAAGCAATGACAACTACGTAGGAAAAAAGCAAGAGTGTACGAAACGGGTTTTACCTTAGAGTTCCATCCCAACCACAGACATTAGTCAGCCAGGCTCTTAATGTTTACAGTTTTAAGCCGTCGGTTGTTGAACTCCGCAGCTTTTCTTCCTCGGTAATATGCGCATGCCGAATGTCAAGCGCCACTTCCTGATAATTTGATTTCAAAATAAAAGTAGGGGACTATGTCATCGCACGTAAAGATAAATAATAAAAAATAAAATGTACCTGAAGTACTGTGCAAAAGTCTAGTGTAAGGGTCTAAAAAGTAGTTTGTACTATTCCAACGAGCTTGAAAGTCAACATTTTGTTTGAGCATCTTTTTTCTACAACACAGCCTGTCCGAGTCCAACAGGACAATGCCCGTGCTGATCGTGCTGATCGTGCTGATCGATGTAGCGGTTCCGAATGACAGCAACATCAGAAAGAAGGAACACGAGAAGCTGGAGAAATACCAAGGGCTCAGAGAAGCGCTCGAGAGCAGGCACGTGCAGAGGGGGGGCTTGAGGGGCTTGAGCACCCGCCCCTTTCCTGATGAGTGCCCAAAGTGCCCTTTTGTTGAAGCAACTTTTACATTTTTTTTAATTTTTTTAATTTATTTTTTTATGTGTGTGGGCGCGCGGAGTCCTGTCTGTGCTCCTCAACAATAATATTTAACTATTAATCACAGTTTTGCTAAATAAAAGGATCTGGCTTGCATCAGTCACATGATCACATTTAACCAATGATCGCCCTTGACGGCAGAACGCGCTGGTTACGAGCCGGGAACGAGCTCACAAAGAGCACGCGCATTTTTTGCGGTCCGGAGCTGTAGGAGAAACTTACCATATTTCTTCCATACAGACTGATGCGACAAAACCAGTAAGTAGGTGTGCAGCGTACACTGTAGTGTATAGCACACAGGAGTGTAAGCTTATTACGTACACGTTGGTAAGCTGTCTTGTTGCAACTGACGAACTGAAACAAACGAGCGTGCTGTGTGTGCAACAGCGCGACAAACATTACCTGTCCTTTTATTAACTGCACAAGTAGTGCTGGTCATAGCTGCTGGCTACCTGTGTAAGGCTGTCATGGGTCTGTAGCTCTGTCCACCGTTTTAGGGAACATATTTAGTTTTAAAGTATTTAGAAACATATTTAGTTTTAAAGTAATTTTCTGGGCATTTCCTGCCTTTCTGGAGGGATTATATTTCACTAAAAAACGATCTAATATGCATGTCCACATAATTATGCATTATTATAATTATAATATATTAAAAAACACACTGTATTTTACAGAACATACATTAAGAAGTAGATTATATTAGATTTATATTTTAAATAAGACAAAATTTGAATTTTACAGCAGTAAAATTATTGTATCTCTACAGTTTAAAAATGTAATAAGCTTTGCCCCTGCACAGAGTGGATAGTGAAACAAATGGAATCATCATAATGACATTATTTCATATTTATTACTTCCCCCTCCTCATTGCTTTATTATTGTAGCTCTAGTAATAAATAATAATGTAAGGATGCCCATAGTATATACAGTATTCTGAAGAAGGTCTAAAATGTCACTGTGAGTGCATGTGTGTTTTATGTATATGGATTTTTTAAAAGTATTACTCATGATATAACATTGTCCAGACATGCCTGGTAAGGACATGAGGAGGAAACAGTAGGAGCTGTGTGAGGCTACTAAAGGCAGTGCTATAACATTTTTCTGTCATCATTTTATTATAGATTAAGTGCAAGAGTTGTTAGGTGTGGATAATTAGATTATAGTTTATTGCAATAGCAAGTTGTGCCTTGTTCTCAGATAGACAGCAAGTGGAGAGTGATATATGAAAAGATGGGATGGAAGGAAGAAGAGAAGCAAAGAGTGATTCACAGGCAGAGCCTAAATTATTTCTCACAGTTTTTTGTTGCCTTATGGTTCCAAGCGCTGTCACCAATCTTTGCATTTTGTTATTATCTCATGATACTTGTTTAATCAGCTACCATCTCTCCTATGGACTTTTTAATGTCAACAGTCTCAGATCAACACAGCCCTGCCCTCCAGCACTATCAGCAGCAGGAGCAGCAGAAACCCCTCAACAGCAACATTGTACCCATCAGGTAAAACATCGGCTAAGTTTGCTTTGCCTTGTTGCCCATATTAGATTCTTGATGAATGTGTGTTGTTGTTATTCAGCCTGGTTCAATGTGCCCCTTTTTAACTTTGAGCACCCGCCCCTTTAAACCTCTCTGCACGGCCCTGCTCGAGAGGATGTGGAGGGTGAAGGTAACGGTGGTCCCCGTGGTAATCGGAGCACTAGGTGCGATGACTCCCAAGCTAGGCGAGTGGCTCCAGCAGATCCCAGGAACAACATCGGAGATCTCTGTCCAGAAGAGCGCAGTCCTGGGGTGTATATACGTATATATTAGGAATGCAACGATACTCGTATCGTTGAGCGCTCAGTGGATCAGCGCTCGACAGTCGAGTGCTGATCCACTGAGCGCTCAACACAGACAGCATCGTCAGAAGGAAAGTTGATCAAATAAATTAAACATTTTGTATTGTTCGATACATATGCGTACCGAACCGAAAGCACTGTATCGAACGGTTCAATATCGATACGAGTATCGTTGCATTCCTAATATATACGTGTGTGTGTAGTCCATTAAGGGGTTTTTGAATATCCCTGGTATATCAGTTACAGCAGTTAGCTGCTTTACAACACACACCCTTTATATAGTTTCGTATTCGTTCTTCTTTGTAAAAGCGCATACTCCCAAAGAATACCACGGTATAAAAACAACTTTGTTCCAACACCCATCACTCAAATTATCAAATCATAGTTTCTATATCCTACAAGAGTGCAGTGTAGACTTTTGATTGGCTTTTTGTATATTTGTGGTATTGGATATGTATACACTCACTCAGTGTGTAGTTCATACGAATTCTATTAGAATCTAGCATTCATTTATTAAACACATTTACTGTATTACTTTTTTTTAAGAATATCACTACTGAGCAACAAGTGTTCATTTAATTGTAGTCAATAATACTTTCAGTGTCAGCTGGAGAATACTGACATTTTGTTTACATTTGCTTTTTAATATACAAAACATGTATTCTACATGTTTATCTTTGCAACAACAACAAAAAAAAAGACTGTTAGTAGTGTAACTCAATCCTGACTTTTCTAGTAGTCATAAGACAGGGCAAAAAGCATTTTAAATCCCATCCCCAGTTCTTTAACCTTAACAAAAACGTCACTCAAAAAAAAGCAAACAAGCAATTTTACATCATTTTCAAACAAAGTGCCTTATCTCATCAAATCCTTCAAATAAATTAAATTTAACACATTAACAAAAGTCTCATCTTACAGACATCAGTTTTCACATTAATTCTCATCCATTTCATTTCATGAAATTAATGCAGTAACTTGAGCTGATGAAGTGTCTGCTTACATTAGGCAGCAGTGTAAATTCAGTACTCTTCATATGCTGGACAATGAATTTAACCCATCCAGTCCTTACGAATTCATTTTAAACCAACTCCTCTCACTCTCTATTATTTGCTCATCATCCAACCATGAAGGAACCAGTGGCTTTATTTTTCAGGCAGCAGGTTGAAGCTTAGGCATGGCTGACTGGCAGTTGTGTCAGTGAATGGGACATGTGTGGCTGCAGCAGAAGTGGGTCTGGAGTTTGGACTGTGGAAGTAACAAACTCAAAGTTATTCAATGATCATAGATGTCGGTAAATAAGCATGGTTTCTGACAAGATCTCAGACTTTGATTTTAACAACAATAACTGATTCCCAGTACTGAAAATGGGATTCCTCCAAACTATCAGCAAGTGATGCAGAGATTACCTTAGCTCTGAGTTTCCTGCGTATTGGTAGATTCAAAGACTGATCAGCATAGCAATGACCGTATTACCATCAGTGTTGGGGAGTAACGCAATACATGTACCACCATTACTCATATTTTGTATTTTAAATACGTAACTGTATTCTGTTACAGTTGCTGTTTAAGAAGGTGGTATTCAGAATCAGTGTTGGTCAAGTTACTTGAAAAAGTAATCAGTAACTAATTACTGATTACTTCCCCAAAAAAGTAATCCCGTTACTTTACTGATTACTTATTTTCAAAAGTAATTAATTACTTAGTTACTTTTTAAAAACGATTTACAACCTGAATAGGTGATAAAGCGATAGATCTTTCAGCCCAATTCTACTTTTTCTGCATAATCCATCATACAAAATGTAATCAAATGGAAAAGTCTCTTTTTTTTTAACTTGTTTTATTAGTTTTAATCTTTTAACTTTATGCATCAAGCAAAAATGTAATTATATGCAACATTCTCTGACTGGAAGAAATTTGTTTAATATATAAACCTATTTTCTGCACATTCCAGCACATAAAATATATATTTTTTTGTGTTTACACTCACTCTTTCAAATAGATGCAAGTAAAACACAGCAGAAAATAAATAAAGTCCTTTGGTCTAGCGGTCCTTTTGCTCTATTTTCACCTGTAAAGCAAGAGTGGAGCAGGCGGAGGGTTACCCTGGTGCAGGTGTGCCGCAGCGGTCAGTGGAAGAATCCGCGAGTTTCTCTGTGTTTCCCATTACGTCGTAGCGCACTCGGTGCTTGCTTGGAAGTTTAGGGGTTTTTTTTCGCTGTAAAAAGAAGTTTTCTTCCCACGCACAGCGGACGCTAATGTTTTTGTCACTTTTTATGGAATCAAACTTAAAGGTCAGTACTTCCACGCTTTAAACGCTGCACGCTCATACGCTCTCCCGCACTCGATATATTATCCATTGTTGATCTGCAGACAGCTGTTGTCACGAACGTAGCACTTGCTTATGTCACTGTCATGAGACATTCTCGCAAAAAAAAAAAAAAAAAAAAATTTCACGGTTTTAGTAACGCAGCGTTCCTACGGGAAAGTAACGGTAATCTAATTACCGTTTTTGCAATAGCAAACCTGTTACTTTACTCGTTACTTGAAAAAAGTGATCGGATTACAGTACTGCCCATCTCTGTTCAGAATACAGTTACTTTGTTCAAATGAATGGATTACACGGCGATACTTTCCTGTTTCATATGTTAGGCTATGCCCTCTCTATTTTTAGTTTTCCATGCC